AAGTAAAGAGTTAGTAATGTTTTGAGATTTAGAAATTGATTTATCATCACAAGACGTAGTATTAGTTTTATTGTGATAAGAAATAGTAGAACTCAGCTGCAAAGAATTAGTATTAGATTTAGGACATTGAAGCTGAGATGAATGATTCGGAATTCAGTTCCGAGATGTAGATTCAGAATTAGTAATTGTATAAGATTTAGGAGTTAATTTATCTCCGTAAGATTTGGTGTAAGATTTAGTATAAGATGTAGTATTGCATTTTGTGTCATTTAAGGTTGGTGATTCCGGCAGACACGAGACCGGAATCGTATTTAGTTTAAATTTTTGTCACAGGAATCGAACTCGCACCCATTGGTAATGCACAAGCGCACTGCACTCGCGCCGTCGACGCGCGGTGTTTGATGGTCACGTTGCGCTTGGTTTGCAAGTTCGCGACACATTGTTCGATGGTGTGACCCTTGTTTTTACAATAATTACAGGTTTTTATATAATTAGAATAAGTAGGATAAAGATTTGCATTTATATAATTAGAGTTAGTAGTATTATGATTAAAAGGATTGGTAGGACATAATAAGATCTTTGAACATGAGAAGTGCTTTTGGCAAGTTTCGCGTTTTTTAAATAACATTCTGATGAAGAGTGCCCTGTTTTGTTACGTATGGAGCACTGCTTATAATTTTTGTGAGATTTCGAGAGGTTAAATAATTTTTCCTCTTCGCTATGGCATGTTGTACAGCCTCATTTAAGGTTGAAGGAATCCTACACCTTACAATATTAGAAATAGAATGGTCCAAGCCTAGTATAAAAGTATTCAATGCAAGTTCTTCCATGGCTGCGATTCTACCAGGAAGTTCTTTATCGTCTTTACAATTGTAATGAATGTCGGACTGTATTTTCGTGAGAATATACTCAACTTTTAGCGAGTATTTCGTCACGTCTTCATTGTGTAATTGTTTACAGTTTTGTAAATCAATTAATAAATAAATAAATAATAAAAATAAAAATCATTTATTTCGAACCGTAGTCCATAGTATTAGTAACAAGTAACCTTATATACTATGTTAGTAACAGCATATTTATGACAGAATTATCTATAATAAACAAAAGGAAACAAGGCACCACTACGGCACATAATGATTGTACGTGACAGCGGTGTCCTTAGTTATGTGAACGCGCGTCCAGTGCTGCATTACAGCACTGTCCACGTGCAGTCTATCTGCTACTGTCCGCAGGAGACCGTTGGAGCTGCCCCGTACCCTCTGTAACAGGGATGTGATACGTTTTCTGATGATGGCAGAAAAGCTATCAATCTCAGACGTGGCTAGCATCCCTGAAGCACTACAGTAACGTGGAAGCCCCATCAGCGCCCTGAAAGCATTGTTATATTGCGTACGCAGAGCCCTGTATGCACCCTGAGTATAATTCAACCACAGGCTGCACGTGTACAGAGAATTACAATAAGCTCTAAACAGTGTGACTTTAACTTCATTAGTACAACGCGCAAACCTCCGAGAAAGCAAATTACCTCGAATGCAAAGGGCCCTGCGCTCACGTTCCATGTCCAAATCATCCTTAAGCGATTCCGTGACCCAATGTCCCAGGTACTTGAAACTGCGCACTTGTCCAAGCGAATCACCATTGAGCATTACGGGCGGAACTTTATAAGTCTTGCATCCAGCCTTAAACACAAGCAGCACACTTTTTGTTGTGTTGTACCTAAGACCGTGAGCCACAGCAAACCGCTCGCAGATGCGCAGGAGTTTCCTGAGAGCACTGATTGATGGGCACAGCAGCACCATATCGTCAGCGTAACTAATATTGTTGACAAAGGTACCGTCAATGGAACACCCGACTCCGGCGCTGCTGAGCTCACCAATCAGCCCGTCCATGTACAGACTAAAAAGGGCTGGAGAAGTTATTCCCCCCTGCCGCACGCCACATTCCAGGCCGTACACGTCCGAGAGCCCCCCAGAACACTTAACATAATTCCTTTGATTTGCATACCAGTACTTTAATATGGAAATACACTCAGGCGGCATACTTGTATCATTATAGAGCTTTTTCCAAAGTATGTCATATTGAACCAAATCAAACGCCCTAGACAAGTCCAAAAATGCAGCATAAACAGGCGTACCTCGCACAGTATAGTACTGGACAGTCTGCTTGAGACACAGGACAGCGGCTTCAGTAGACAGACCCGGTCTAAAACCAAACTGTGCATCGTGTAGCTTAATATGAGCGCCCAGCTGCTGATCAAGCAGCCTGTCCAACACTTTCGCGATTATGGTCGCCAGAGATATTGGTCGGTAGTTTAATTTGTCACTCGTATCGCCAGTCTTATTTTTGACAATCGGAACAACTATCGTCTCTAACATCCTGTCCGGTAAGTATCCATGACTAATGCAAAGGGAAAAGAACATGGCCAGCACTCGTGGTAAGTGTGCACCAGCATATTGCAAATGTTCAATGCTTAAGTGATCATGCCCAGGAGATTTGCCCCGAGACATTTTACCGAACACAGACCGAATATCTCCGGCAGTAATTACAACCGGCTTATTGCTTGGCCATTTTTCACCATAACTGGCAGTATTATTATTACTTTTGCCACTTGAACCTGTACCCAGTGCCGACTGCACCATAAAATGATTCTTGAACATTTCGGCTATTTGTGAGGGCTCACTCAGCCCCTCTATATTTGCTGGAAAACAAGGTTTTGGGTTAAGCTTTTTAGTTTGTTTCCAAAAATTTGGAAATTGTTTATCTGAGTGATACATAGCCAAAATGTCCATCTTAATAAATGTGTCGCATGTTTTTTCTCGCCAAAAGTGCTTCTCAAAAATGATTTGATTTCCTTTCAGGGCGTGAAAGTCTTTAGACAACACGCAGCTTGGGCTTTGCCTTCTAATTGAGAAATAATATATTTGCATAGTACATTTTGTTGATCTGTAGTGGCCAAGGACATCGCATTATCGCAATTAGTTAAGAAAGCGGGGAGGGATTCTCTGTCACCGCTGTATGAATTTTGTTAAGACGGACAACGTGATTTTTTCAGACATTTCGTTTTCTGGAGTTTTGTTGTCTTTTTCTGGCTTGGCTTTGTTGTCTTTTTCTGGCTGGCATGATTAATTAAACTATAGTAAAATATAGACAAGTTTAAAAATTGATAATTGAAATAGTAAAGTTTGTAAAAATATTAGATATAAGATAATAGTTTAAACACTCACAGTAGTAACAGCACTTTCACTAACATTTCACACGTGGCTAAATTGGAGCTCCAGGTGCTCAGGTTCCACGTGGCGCTGCGTAGCGGCGGTGGCTTGTAGTTGCAGCTCGAATTGCAGTGTTAGCTTATGTTAACACGTGGTGGCACGTGATTAGGAGATGATGGATGGATGGATTAGGCGATGTACCGCTCTTTACGAGTGCCAATGTCTAACTGCCTTGATTTGAGGCTTACGCAAAATATGAAAACTTGCACATTGCATTATGGAAAAATACGGCTTTGATTGTAATATCAACCTATGCAAAATACCCATATTAGGTTGGGTTATAACAGTTCGGTGTCAGTCGCCTAGCTGACCGAATGAAAGCGAGCGCTAACGTGTATAGAGCTCGTTTGACGTGGCTTGTCACAACTCGCAGTCGCTCGTGACTACTTGTCTTACTTCGGAGAAGTGTCGATTTTTCTGCACAAAATAGTAGTCAATTGACATTGTATAATCAGACATTATTAGTATTACACATCGAGCGAAAACGACTATCGGCCATAAATCGGCAATCTTCGGATTTGTAGAGTCGTTCCATCACACATTATGAACAACAAAATGATTACGACTGTACAAAGCCGAAATCAGTCGATTGTATTTTTTTTATTATTACAACATAATCCTAAAGTTCGGTGTGTAATATGTAGAGTCTAGTCCGTTTCTCTACTATGAGTTCATAGGGTCGTATTCTAGAACTCTACTCAATGCTCAAGTCAGGACTGGAGTATGATTCGAAGCACTAGAAATCATACTCAAGTGTAATGGCACCATTAGGGTCGTATTTCCAGTGCTTGAAATCATACTTAAGTCTGCTCAAATCCTGACTTGAGCATTGAGTAGAGTTCTGGAATACTGACCCATAGTAACAGTCTTAGGAGTTGATAATCTTAGTACAGAGTACTAAAACAACCGACCTCAAAAGTTCGTGGAATTACATCTATCTCCCAAGTTTTATTGAAATCGGTTACCGGAAAGTGCGCGAAACCAGATTCATCTCCTAGTTTGCCACCCTTAAAGGTGGAATATTTTCATTACATCTAAGTGGGACCACTACCGAAGTTGGAAACAACAAAATAGAATTGGCGTAACATACTTACACAACCTCCTCTTTTTTTCAAGTCGGTTAAAAATGAAAAAAGATTGTTTAGTTGTCGTTAGCGACAGCGTCAAATACATAAGTAAGTATTACTACAAGATACAAGACGTTATTTCTTCGCGTGATCGCTAGGGACGCTGTTCATTTTGCCATGCAAAATTGTCAAACATTTTACAAAGTCGCTGGGGACTCTGTATCTGTAATAAAATTTTGTCATTGAGGTCCTATTTCAACCTTATTCTCAGGAATGTAAGCAGCTCTTTTAAATTGTTTTATTTTTTTCAAAACAACTGTAGTTATTTTAAAAAAGTGCAGTTTGACTAAATTTGTTTTTAATTAAAAAATAAGTGTGCACTTGACCGACATCTCACCTGTTGGAAAATGACGATGAGGTCTACGATGGAGCACACCTAAATAATGCATATTAACTCTCGCCTTGAAAAGGCCCAAGTTATACCGCTGAGGATACAAGTCTGCAGGCAAGGAATGCCACTCTATAGCCATTCGCTATATAAATATGAAAGCGAAACGTATTGCGAGAACCCTGGGCATTGATACAAGTCAGTGTTGAACAACCAGGTTATTTGGAAAGACTATAAATTAAACATTGAGTAAAAATCTTCTATTTCGTATACACAATGTTCAACGTATATAACAAAAAATGAATAGAGAAGCTATCTTATTATTCCTTTTTCTCGGATTACAGCTTCAATCTGACTATCAATACTTGTATAGTACTTCATGATACTCAATACTCTTTCAGCTCTATTCAAATCTCCAGCGAAAAATGCTGCAGAGACTTGCTTTTGTAAGTCTTCTATAACTTTTCTATTTTCTTTTCTAAGATGCATAATTTGTTTCTCAGTATCAGCATTTTCCACCTCCTCGTTCTTCTCCATAATTTTCATCAGGAACTCTTTGTCGATTTCTGTCTTTTCTGGGATCTCTCTACCCCTTAGTTTGAGCATATAAATGCCTGAAAAATGAATTAAAATATTTCTTAATGCATTTACTGCCAGCAACAAATCATAATGTTAAATATTAGACATTTCACAGCCCTTGTGTTGACGTCTGATCCCAAAGTAAGTAACTAAAGCACTTGTGTTACGGAAATCAGAAACAACAATGATACCACAAACACCCAGATCCAAGTCAGTATAAAAAGTTAGCTGTGGATCGAACTCTAAACCTCTGAGATAGTGACACCACGAAACCCAGTTTGCAAGCCACTCAACCACATTGTTTATCCAGGTTACCTTGAAGAAATTGCTACTGAGCCACCCTATTGCACATTAATTTGCTATTTTAAGTCACTGTTCTGTGTTGCACTATAATTTTATGTGTTATATTTCACTCATTCATTAATTCGTTATTAATTATTGTAATTAAATAAGGTACAATATTGTGACAAAAAAAGTATGCTACCTCTTGCTAATGGTTCAAGAAGTGTTTTATACGCTTCATTTACTAGTGAAGAGTATTGTGCTGATATTTCTTGTTCTTCTTTTTTCCTGAAACAAATGAACAATACAAATCATTATTAATAACAGACTTCACCTTAACTTTTTTAACTTCTTTAGTCTCATATAAGGTATCATCTGTATTTTATTTTAAAATTGTATATATAAATGCATACATATAAAAATATTGTCAAGTGTAAACTATATTAGGAAGTTTTAAGACAAATAAAACTGGGTTTTCACTAGAAGAGCATGTCGGGACTGAGTCCATTCAGATGAGTTCTCAGACTCTACTCGCATCCAAGTGGTCATCTGAGTGGGCTCGGTCTGAGCTTACTTGTATAGTGAAAACTCAGCTTAGCAAAATTTGTGAAAATATACAGGAAAATGAAGCTGCTGGTGAAGCAAGCAGTTTTATAACAAATTATTATACTAAATTTTTTTTTATAATATCAACACGATAAATAAGTCTTGTGTGCCTGATGGTAAGCTACATGCCTGTCCATAACAGTTGCAGTGCCACTCAGAGCTTTAAATCGCAAAAATCGCGCCCATCACCCTGAGTCATAAGTTGACAAGTCCCATGTGCCTGCAATGTCACCAGCGCCCTTACCCTTCAAACCAGAACGCAGAAATGTTAACATAACTGCTTGGCGGCAGAAATAGGTAAGGAGGCAGCACTTCCCTGGACGAACTCTTTCACAACGAGCTGCTAAAATTAAGCAGCTAATATTCCGAGTAGAAGTGTAAAATGTAATCCAATAATTAAAGGCCATTTTCTAATTACATTTATCTAGTAACACTGTTGTTATAAATGGTACTTACTTATTAGCAAACTTGTCTGGATGCAAATTCATCTGTAATGTTTTAAATTGTTTCGCCAACGTAACTTCTTCTATATCATAATTTTCGTCTACACCTAAGATTTTGAAGTAGTTCTCTTTCTCATCAGGCATTTGTAACACATTGCAATGTGAACAAAACAAATTATTTACTAATTTCTTATTATCTTTATTGCACGACCAACAAGATGCAAAACGAAGTTGATAAATCAAATTGTTCACTGTAATGTTACGATATAAAATGCCTAAGCTCATTTTCACACCGGAATTTTGAAAAATATATGAATAAACGAGAATAAACAAACACCCGTGAGTTGAACACTTAAATATAAGTTATGAAACAGGAAGGTTACGGAATAATATAACCTCCTCGTAAAATGACAATGTCACAATCAGCTGACTGTCACAATGATACGTAAGGTTCGTTCACTTAAACTATTCCTTTCATTGACCTACTAAGGAAGTGCGCACCAAAAATCAGAAAGGAAGAAAAAGTATATATATTTTGACCTTAGAGGATGGAAAAAAATAAAAGAAGTTTCCATAGTCTATTATGCTCCTATTCTAGAACTCTACTCAATGCTCAAGTCAGGATTTGAGTATGGTTTAAAGCACTCGAAATCATACTCAAGTCCCAACCATTAGGGTCATATTTCCAGTGCTTGTGTTTCTAGTGCAATCCTGACTTAAGCATTGAGTAGAGTTCTAGAATACGATTTTAAGGGTCGTATTCCAGAAGAATTCGACCTTAAGGGTCGTATTCCAGAACTCATATGAAATCATACTCAAGTCTGCTCAAGTCAGGATTTGAGTATGATTTCAAGCACTGGAAATACGACCCTAAACGCAAGGACTTGAGTGTAATTTGTAGTAGATACCCCTTATACCATGGGTATCAGCCAATCGAAACGTCGGTTTGTTTGAAAAAACAAATATACGCGATTTAAATCCGGAAAAATATGTAGTTTCATTTCCTATGTGTAACAATCGCGAAAACCTAAGAACTCGAATCATAATATTATCAGATTTACGCAGCACGTCTCAATTTCCTTGACTCCAGTATAAAAATAAACTGTCAAATTTATTGAGGTTAGTTTGGTTTTGGTGGTAAAGTGATTGAAACTTTTACTGCAAAAACTGTGTAAAAATGGTGTCGTACTTCACATTAGACGCTACGGGTGAAACTACAAACTTCCAGAAAGAAATTGCAAATATGATGCATGGATTTGGTGACAATCCTAACCCAAATGCGGCTACTGTACTGTTAGTGGAAAACATCGTACTTCAACAGCTTCGTACTATGCTCCAAGAGGCTATAGGCCTTTCTAATACTAGAGGTTCGAAAGCTATAACCAATTACGATATAATTTATCTCATGCGAAAGAATAAATTTAAGTTGAAACGTCTGCACGATTATCAGTTGAAGCTTGATCAACTGGATAAAACAAAGCAAGTAGCTTTAAACACCCCTACCGATACTCTCATGTCTGGCGTAATGTTGGAAGACGAAAAAGACCCTACAATGAAAAAACGACGAACACATATTGATGTTATCAAAGAACTTGACGAAACCGACGAAGTGGCTCAGATAAAATTCGACGTAATTGACTATTTAAGGAAAATTCGGGCGGATAAAATTACGGAGTCAATGTCTTTTGATAAATATGAAGTGTATCACAAAGCGAGATGTAGTTCATTCCGCTCTGGTTACGGTCTCAGCAAAGGATTTGTGAAGCTAGAGAGATGGATAAATCCGACAAAAGAGCTTAAAATTACTGTATCAGCTTTAGAAGTGTTATGTTTCCTTGCATATGAAACCATAGCAGAAATTGTTGATGCGGTATTTTTAATTAGACAAGATGCGAAGAAGAAGTATGGTGATCCATTTGGCAAATTTGAAGGTGGTCATTTCTGTAATCCAGTCAGTTTGAATAATGCAGTTTATATTAAATCAGGATATGAAGGTGTGCCCGCTATAACCGTAGCGGAAGTGAGGGAAGTTTTAAGAAGATATTTTACTTCAAGAATTGGAATGAATGGTTTATTTTATAGGAATATGTGTATGGACCTGCCAGTGAGATATTTAGCATTATAAATAAATCATTATTTAGGTTTTATAATATTTTGAAAAGGGTTCTAAGGGTTCTGAAGAAGTAACATTACAATGATGTTGTGTATATATTATTTACCTGGTAACTTGACTATATATACAATGACATATTTTATAAGGTACATTAGGGAAATAAGTTTGGTGACTAGAGCTATTGCTTGGAAATAAACAAAACTGAAATTGTTATCTATTACTGTATACTTTCAATTAAGATCATGTTAGGTAGTATGTAAATTAGAATCCATTGCTGCCTATTTTGCAAAACAAAAAAATTGTCTAAAAGAAATAAAATTGATAATAAACATTTTGTTGTAGTATTAGTTCCTTGTAGATCCAATATTTTTTGTTATTATGACGTTTATGTATGACTAAGACGCTACGTAAACGTGTCTTGTATTGTATACAAGCAACTGGCGACTAGAAGAAAATATTCTATTTTCATATAATTAATATGAAATTGTCATGACATTAATTTATAGGTTTCTAACATTGACTTACAATTATATGGACGTCGGGTCCGCGCTAAAAAGTGGCCGAACTTATAGGGCGTTAAAATCGTATACAGAGCGTCATTCACGCTTTAGTCTTCGTTTGTTCGACTGACAGTGAAGCAAGCAAAATTAGACAATACTGCGATGATATTACAATTTAAATTCAACATTTTAGCTTTTTCATATTCCTTTACATTTCACTACGTTTAAATAGGTTGAATTGGGACATTTTTTTCGTGGTTTTTGTATTAGACCCGTCGTCCATTTATTTGAAAGTCAATGGTTTCTAAAACGTAATGTTAACACTGACTGTCAATTCATTGTCTATGATTAAAATTCATACTTTGGGAATTAATACGAAAAAGTACATTTATTAATTTAATTATCGATATACCTCATCTTTAACAAATGCAGTGTAATTTTATTTCTGTATTTATTTTATTTATTTGGGAAACATACAGCATCATATTATAATACATGTCATTTTTAACAAATATGAAACAAACACTAGCCAAAACAGTTTCCAGTAATGTTTAAAATAGTTACATTGGATAGACAAATTTGTACATGGCTATAACCAACTAACTTATTAATTACCACTAAGCAACATATTATAAAATCACTTTTAATTGTAATTTAAATTTATTGGGTATCATGATGTTCAACCACCATGATATACAATTATGTAACGCAGTTATGCAATGAAGTAACCTTTGCACATTGTCGTAAAAAATGAATGTATGAAAAAAAAAATTATGTTATTCCGCTCATTTCTTACAAATAAACATTGATTCAATGTCATTTTTAGTTTAATTTAAAGGCTATTCATTTATAAGCGAGACTTGTGAAATACGTAAATTACGGAAAAATAGTTTGTGAAATACGTAAATTAGTGCACGTCGTTAGGTAAGGTTATATTGGGTTTTAGACAATGGAAAAAATTGGTTTTCATCATTGACGTACAATTATATGGACGTAGGTCCGCGCTAAAAAGTGTCCGAACTTATAGGGCGTTAAAATCGTATACAGAGCGTCATTCACGCTTTAGTCTTCGTTTGTTCGACTGACAGCGAAGCAAGCAAAATTAGACAGTACTGCGATGACATTACAATTTAAATTCAACGTTTTAGCTTTTTCATATTCCTTTACATTTCACTACGTTTAAATAGGTTGACTTGGGACATTTTTTTCGTGGTTTTTGTATTAGACCCGTCGCCCATTTATTTGTAAGTCAATGGTTTTCATAGTCTAAGTATTGGGTAGATTTTTATGAACTGTCACCGGGATGATCCTAGATTATTTTTAGTATATTTGCCGGTTGCTTTTGTATCCAACTTATGACACGTTTGCGCGGTACCTTAGAGCTCGGAAGTTATAAATAATCACAATGCCATCTGTTATTGCAGCGCTGTACTTACAACATCGCAATCAAGGCAAGAAACTACTGAGTATTACATTCATAGTCGTATTTAATTTTCTAATCCGACGCTAGATGGCGCAGTATTAAGCTTTTTATTTTAGCAGAAATTGAAAACCATTTTCAAACATCCTAGTCGCTTTGTAGTAGGAGTACGCTTATTATGCTTCTTTCGCCCGATATCCGGTTCTACCGCCTACCGGTCAGCAAGGTAAAAAAATAATGAAAGAGATATCCTATTTATGTTTTTATAGTATTCTTCATTCAGTTTAAGTTAGAAGTTTCTCGACTTTTTTGTATAAATAAGTTCAAGAAACAAATATCAAGTCTTAGACGTTATATGATTTTTTATATGTCGTTGTAAACCATTAGTCTTTATACGTCTAACATCTATTAGTCAAAATTACCCACTTCATATAAAATAACGCGGAATTACTAATAAGTGTTGACGGGGTAAACGTACCAATTTAGACACGTAGCGCCACTCTCGATTAGTCGTAAAGATTGGGGCGTATCTAAGGATCCTCAGACTCGAGGCTCTCAGGATCTTGAAGCACCATCTGGAGCTTCACCCGAGCGCTTATAATCTGCCAACGGTACTTAAGTAGAGATATAAGTGGTTAGATAGCGTTATTGTATATTTCATTGGCATGTGGGTCAGGAAAAAATGGGGTCGGATGAGTGCGATCAAATATATTGGAGTCAATGTTGGAAAAAATTTTGTCTTTGATTCTAGTTAGGCTCAATTTATATTACGGCGGAACGGAATGGAAGCGAATTTTTGTAACGATGTACATAGCGTAATTAACTTGCTCGATAATTCGCGACAACTTCGCAGCTGCCGTCGGCGACGCCTGGAGAATCCGCGGGAAATGGCGTGAAGCCAGGCGCGAAATACTACAGCCTCAATGCTTGAGCATTCCAACGACCGCGCCAAATTGATGCTTCCGTTCCATTCCGTTCCGCCACAATGCCTAAGTTTTTTGAGATTTAATTACATTGTGTAATTACATAACCTATCTTAAATCTTTCATGGACAGTAACAGCGTTTACTGTAAAATTAAATATTAGAGTGTGGTAGTACGGTGTACCCCGTTTCACTACATGGATCTCAAAAACGAATTATGGCTTTACCTACAGGCGTTTCCAAGTGCTTTCTGTCAATCGTCAACAATGTAGGTACTGTTAAAATTCAATCATTTATTAATTCATTTTTTATATGGAATCAATATAAAAAAATAAAATAATCGTTTATTATATAAAAATAACACTTGGCTACAAAATTAAAGCCCGCCTAACTGCAGAGCAGTTTGTTGGCGGAGACACACTCTCATGCTTGGCAACCTTACCTATCGTACATATCATAACATGCATATTTCATGCACTACATACTCAAATATAGCATCGTTTTCTTTTTAAATGTTACTTTAGATATAATTATTTTCGCCGAGATTGAAATCCTTGTAGGTGACAGTACTAAATTGTTTCTAGTTCATAGATCAAAATATTTATAGTTCTAGGTACAATTATTTTTTTATTGCCAACAGATCAAGTGGTATAAGAATGTTCAGCGCAATTTTTCAACCCTTTTGTATTCCTCCAAAGTTATTAATAGTTTGAATTTTTCTTCTGAAAAATGTCAGTACATTACATATCTAGAATAGTTTCACATATTTGTTACATTTTTCCTTAACATATCTTTATCAATCTTCAATTTTTCAGCACTACGGCAAGAAAACTGGCATATTTGTGTGCAGTATGATATCAGTACCGAAAGGGTTAATCGGCGAAAGACCTTAATACTCTGTGGACGCGATCTTGTGGAAAGAATGGGGGAGGATCGTGCGCTGAAAAGAGCGAAACTAGAACGACCCCACGCGAAGGGCCAGGTGGGACGTTCCAGTAGCTGTGTAGTTAACAAAGATGTGAGCGCTCTCTAAGAAACCGACGCGATGTGATCTAGAACAGAGTGGTGACTGCTGTCGTTAAAGACAAAGATTTTCTTAAGATCAGGGTTGTTCCTAAGTTATTCAGTCTTTATAATTATTAATACAAAGATCGAACACTTAGAAAAAATTCCTTCGATTCGACCGGATTCGAACCGACGTCTTCTAGCATACCGTGCCTGACGCTATACCAACTAAGCAACGGAACGAACCAGCGGACCTCACGAATTTTTCCTTGTGCTTGTTGTCGTGTCTTTGTATTTGGTTTTTCAACGACTTTTTAGCCGTAGCGCCATCTATGAAAGCTTTATCGCCCAGTTAGATACCTGCACAGCTACCGTCCCTGGCGAGAGGTGTCGCTATACACTGTATTTTAAGATGTGCCAGACGCTATACCAACTAAGCACATTTGCTTATTAAAGCATAATAATTAATTAAGCATATAAGCATAGTTTGTATAGCGTCTGGCACGGTATGCTAGAAGACGTCGGTTCGAATCTGGCCGGATCGCAGGAATTTTTTCCGAGTGTTCGATCTTTGTATTAATAATTATAACAAACTCGTGGAGTAATTTCACAAAAAAAATAGATATCAATTCAATAAAAATGTAAAATTATTCAGCCTTACTTATTTTACGAGAAGGCACACAACAGTATTGACTTTGTCTTATATGTGTTTTTTTTCACTGTGAGAGGCACTGATAAAGGCATAAGTATTATAAATACTTGGCCTTTGCTTTGATATAGAGACTGGTTGCATCATGTCGCTTTTATAACAACGACCAAATCTACGTTAGACAAATCGGGTATGTCTCAGGGTTCAACCGCCCAATTTGAAATCAGTCTTGACGTTTACAATGAAGTCTCAAATCCTATACATTTCGATTATGTTTTGATTCTGAAATTTAGGATACATCGTCGACTAAATTTGCAAGCCTCCTAGCTACTTCCATTGATGCGAACTTTTGAGTACCTACCTACGTACAGAAAACAGATTCATTAGAAATAATTATATATGACAATCTATGATTAACATTTCCGTCCACTAACGAACGCGGCTAACTGACAAATGGTCAAATATACGATTTAAACAGCAAAAAATAGAGCTCAAAATTCTCTTATAAAAAACAGTTAAAATTAGTTAACGTGTTCGACTTATCGGAACTTATCCTAACGATGCATAGCTGACATATCTTTAAACAATTTCAATATTTTAAACATGGGTTATGCTTTTTCATGATAACTCAAAAAAATATTTTTATTACACGGCAGATTTTATTTTATAACTAAAAATTCGCCTAAACATATATTTTTCGCGTTCATTGCCCGATATTGCG